AAAAAAAAAAAAAAAAAAAAAAACAGGATTATTGCCCAACACTCGATCAACATCTAATGTCTATTGTTGTCCTGTGTCTTAACGCGCTCGCCCCTTGTCCACCCTGTTCCTCAGCCCCCAGGCCGAAGGTCTCGATTTCTCTCCTTATCCTTGCAATTTTTCGTAATTCGGCCTCGTTAAAAAAATCCAGCGGTGTGGCTTCCACCCGTGCCCTTGCGAGTTCCCGGGTTTTTATAATCCACTCATGCTTGACTACGCCGAGCCACTGCTCAAACCAATGGCTGGGCGTCGGCCCAAACTCATCCTCCCATCTGAAGGCTTCCTCGCGCGGCTGGTGCATTGGAGGTTGTCTCTCTTCCCTAGGTCGCGAGATCTCATCCCTTTCATCCCCGCTGCTGATTTTTATGATCTTTTGTACGTCCTCCTCCTCGTCTTCCTCGGCTTCTGTCTGTATGGGGCTATATCCTCTCGTTAGGTCCTTTGGATCGTAGGTATAAGGAATCTTTGTCCTTGTCCCATATTCCTCACAACTGTCGTGGCCGCTTCGTCCTTCAAGCGGGCTTTCTCTTCTCTCCTCCCCATCCTTATGCTCGTCGTGCACGTCATGTCCCCCCTCGCTTTCCTCATGCCAAATCTCACGTCGTTCGCCCATGTTGGCTCCTTCCTCGTCAGGGGCTTGGGCCTTACCCCCCATATCTGCATTGCCCTCTTCTTTCACATTTGCCTTTCCCTTCTCGCCCTCACTGTCAGATGAGATTTCTATACCTTCTCCCTTCCGGAGGGGTGAGGGTTTCCTACACAATCATTTCCTTCCCCCCCTGCCTACCACTGGCCCGCCCATGAGCCCTATGTACAATTTTCTCTTTGATGTCCTCCTCCCTTGGCTTGGCCCCGCTTCTTCCCCTCCGGTAGGCCTGTTGATTGCCCCGCTGTCGTTTTCGTTGTCGAATTCCATTTTTGTCTTTTCTCGTTTTTCTCCTAAGTCTTGTATAACAAAACAACACCCGCAATGTCCCTCATACACACGCCCCCCCCCCATTCCGGTAGACATTCCCAAAATGCACCCAGTATCCCTCACATCATGCTCCTTTTATATATTTCCCTCCATTATGCAAAAGCGTCGTTTGTGAAGATCCCATTATTTCCCCGTAAAAAACTATGGTACAATGCCACAACAACCCTTCCCGCACAAGCCAGTTGATGCAAAATCCCAAGTCATGCTGCCTTTCAACCTCAGTCAGTCAAGCCATTGCCCCAGTCCCCCAAAAATGACAGTCCCACGGACGTGGTCAGAGACAAACCATAGTGTGGGCAAGGTTGTGGTCAGTCCTTAGCTTGTGGCCCCTCAGTTTCCTTATCTTCGGCCTCCTAAAGCCATTGTTCCACTGGGTCCCGACTTAGAAACCTGACCAATCGTTGCCCCGGGAAGGGCCCTTTCAATCCACTTCCATCCAAATCTTCCAGTTCAAGGTGTTCAGTCCCACCTGCTTGGCGACCCGGTAGGGGCCTTTGAACCTTCTTCCCAGCTGTCCCGACCAAGTACTTTCTAGTGCCGAGTTCCTTAGCAATACCATCTCTCCCACTTGAAGTGGCTCCTTTCTGACATTCTTAACCTGGTCACACCTTGCTTTGTCCCTCATTCTGTTGTCTAGTACCCGGTTGGCGATGTCTTCTATGACTTCCTCGTTCTTAAGGATCTGTTGACATCTTGCCTCGATTAACTCTTCAGTGGTCATTTGCGGATCATCATCTAACCTATTCCAGGTAGATACCAAGGCTTCCACGGGAAAGTCGATCTCTCTTCCGTACCAAAACTCCGCCGGGATACATCCTGTCGTCCTTTTAGGGGTCATTCTCCGCAAAGACAACCTGCTTAAGATACCTAGGCCAGTTCCCCAGACGGTCCGCTGCGAGCTTCGCAATCGTATTCTTCAAGGTCTGGTGCCCCTTTTCCACAGGTCCATTGGCCTCAGGGTGATACGGCTCGATGAGTTTGATCGGTACGCAGAGTCTCTTAAGCATCCCTAATACTTCTTGGTTCACAAACTCCGTCTCATTGTCTGCTATAAACCTCCTGACGAACGGATGCCTCAAGTAGAAGTCTTCTATCCAGTCCGCCACACTCCTCCCTGTCTTTTTCTTGAGAGCGACCGCCTCCACGAACCCACTCAAGTTGTCCCGCCCATCCAGGATATACCTGTATCCGTCCGTTGATACAGGCATGACCCCAAGGTCGAGGTGGACAAGATGTCCTGGTCCTAGCACCCGCGTTGGTCTAAGCGGCTCGAAGACCCGCGCCGAGCTTCGTTCTTGGCAGATAAGGCAAGTCTGGCAGTATATGGCGACCATGCCTGCCATGCCTGGCCAATAATAGAGTGGCGTTATCTTTGCAAACGTTCCTTTGGACGACCGATGACCTACAACTAACCCGTCGTGCATTGTCTGGATAACGTCTACTTGCCTAGACCTTCCGCACACAATCGTTCTGGGCATAGCACCTTCCTCCCTTCGGAACAAATGACCGCCCCTTAGGACGTACCTTTCAGCCTCTTGTCTCGCTTTAATACTGACTTCCGTAGGTTGTTTGTTTCCTACCAGCAACAGCCCGATCTCCCGAAAGAACCCTTCGTATAATTGGACATAAAAAAACTTCTCCCCTTCCTGGCCCCCATCCTTTCTTTCCTGCATCTGGTTTACCACCCATTGCAACTCTCTCCTTTCCCAAGATTCCACTAGGCTCATCACTGCTTCCCGGCCTCCCTCGACCGCCATTGCTATTAGTTCCTCTTTTGGCCCTACTATCGCTCCCCATGAGTCCTTTTCTTCTCTGCGTCCTCGAGTGGTGACTCGTCCTTCTCTAAGTTCTGCTACGACGGCATATGCCCCCTTCTCCAAAGTCTGGATCAATAGTTCTCCCGATGTGCATTCTTCGCTCATCATTTCGTTATCCACCGCAAGAGTCCCTCCTTCGTATTCGAGGAATGCGTCTATGGGCTCCGCACCCTCCACCCCTTCGGGAGTGATGCAGACCCGGCTCAAACCATCAGCCTTGTTCCTAATTCCCGCATTCCGTTCGATTTTGTAATCAAACTGCCCGATAAATCCTACCCATCTCCCCACCGTCGGATCTATAGGCCTGTAATTCTTTAAGGCCCCTACAACATTCGTTGCATCGATCCTAAGGATGAACCGCCTCCCAAATAGGTAGAACTGAAAGGTCTTAAGATAGTGCAAGATAGCTAGGACCTCCTTCTTGAACTGCGAGTACCGCCGCTCTGCGGAGTTCAGGGTTCTACTTTCGAACCTAATCCGCCTCTCTTTTCCTCCTTCATCCCTTTGAATCAACACGCCTCCTACGGCCAAAGGTCCTCCATCCGTCTCTAGGATGAAGGGTCGTCCTACTTTGTCATTAAAACAACGTGCGGACAGGGCGATTGTCTCAAATGTCAATATGTCCTTAAGCTTTTGGACAACTCCTTCTCGCTCCTCCGTCCAATCCATGGTTCCTTCTTCCCTGATCATAGCCCGGATGGGCTCAGCAATCTTGGCAAAATTCTTAATGAAGATCCTCCAAAAGCCGACTACGCCTAGGAATGCCCTTACCTCCATTGTCGTGCGCAGTGGCGTCGGCCACTGTGATATCTTGTTGGTCTTTGCCGGATCTGGCTTCCTGCCGTAAGTACCGCAACAAAATCCTAGTATAGTTACCTCCGGTACTGCTAGGATACTCTTTGGTCCACTAGCCGTAATGTTGTATACTAGGAACCGGCGGAGTAAGTCCTTGATGTCCTGCAGGTGGTCCCATACAAACTTCAGATCCCTGGCTGGACTTTCGTCTCGTCCTTCTCCTGCGTGCCTTTGATCGGATTGTCATCGATGTAAGGCTCACACTTCTCTGGGAACATGTCCCCGGCCACGACGAGCATTCTTCGTTGCGCTTCGGCCACCGCGTTTGTGAATCCCATAGGGGTCACTTGCATCTGAAACTGGCCTACGGGGGTGTGCATAGCGGTGTATGGCCTGTCCCAAACATCCAATGGAAGCTGGTCATACCCTGAGTACAGATCTATCAGGGAGTAAATGCTCCGACCGGCGTGCGATTCTGCTAATTAGTCAGCCTGAGGTAGCGAGCCAGCATCCCGGATGGTTATCGCATTCAACTTCTGCAGATCCTGAATCCACCTTAGCGTCTTATTAGGCTTCCGAAAGACGAACCACCGGTTTGCGTACGGCGACGCCGTAGGCTCCGCAACGAAGGAGTCCATCTTTGCTCGGAGGAGGTCTGTCACTTCCCCTGCTATCCCAAATTCATAGGACGGCGCCTTGTCATTCCAGCATTCATGTTCTACCGTGTGGATTCTGACCGGAGGGATCAGCTTTGCATCCAGTCGTCCCTTCTGGTGATCACTAAAGGCAAATGCCAGGTGAAACTCCTGGCAGGTCCTTTTGATCAGGCGGGTTTCTTCTTCCATTAAGAATCCGTCTATCCCATCTTCATTGTGTTAGCTACCTCATCTGGTATCCGATGTCCTTTCGTCGCCCTTCTTTCTCGGATCACTCGAAGGACCTCTTCCTCCTTCTCCATAGCCTCTTCCTTTGATGTCTCTAGCAGGATTGAGACCGATTTTGCTTTCTTCCCTACCGGCTTGTACTTTCGAACACTTCCTTCCGGGATCTTTCTCCTAAAAAATGAACAGTCGGAATCACCCTCGTTGCCTCTACGACTCGTGGTTGAATACGAACTAGTTTCTCATTCAGGCAATATCCCTTTTGGACTTCTCCTTCGAACTTGGCCAAGGCTACTGAGTCCACGCCTACCTTGTGGTATCTGAGGGCCTTGATGAGTTGTAACAGATCGGGGATCTCTAGTGCGACTTCTGGCACGTCTATGCGTACTTCTTTCCGCTTGGCAGGCTAGAACCACGTTCGACCTCTGACTCCTTTTCTGCTACCATAACACCTAGGACTTCGTCCTCCTGCCTCCTCTTCTTCTGGGGCAGGCCCATCTTGATCCACTCCTTCTTCTTAAATGCTTCCTCAATCATGATTTCTACCCTTTCTCTCATACCCTCCATCCGTGCGAAAGCCCCTTTTCGCGTGCTATCCTCGAACGACGGCGACCATGTTGCCAATTTCCCCTTTGGGGGGTCTCCTCCCGTTCCAAGGAGTCGGAGGAGCTCTCCCCGGCCGGTCACTGGGTCCTCTATGTCTACCATGTATGAGCCGTCGTGCAAGTGCATGCCTATCATCTCCACGTTCACGCACCACGGTCTCTCGAGGATTATGTCGTGGTCCATTTCCTCCGTTACGGTCATCCGCTGAAACGACCAGATCGATTCCCTAACTCCTGCCTTTACAGCGCACTTCTTGACGTACCCAGCGAACGGGATTTCCCCGCCAGCTCCCCGGATGCTCCCTGTTACTTCCTTGTTTACCGTACATCCCGTGATCGTTGCGAAATCTCTTCTTATGAGAGTGATTTCTGCTCCCCCGTCTACTAATGCGTCGGTATGATGAGTCCCGATCTGGATTTTCAACTTCCCTACGGGCAGTGCATGAAAGCTAAGCTTTGTCCCAGGTGGTGACCTCATGACTTCGCCGCCCTCTCGGTCGGGCAAGCTCAAACGAATGTCTGCAAAAGCTTTCTCGAGATCCTCCAAGTCCCAGCGACTCCTCTGAAGGTTAGCCACTTCTTGAGGAGCTTCCTCCTCCCTCTCCCCTTCTGGTAATTCGGGGTTGTCGCCTATTTCTACTCGTCTCCGAGTCAACAGTTATCTAAGCTAAGCGCTTTGAGAAACCTAGGGCTAGCCTGCAGCATGGTCTGAAAAGACACCGACACCATGGTTCCTAGTAACTTGCTAATGGTGTCGTCGATCTGAGGCAAGGTTAAGATCGAGATTTGATACCGAAACTTCTTCTTAGCGGCGGTAACCTTGTCCGCAGGCTCCTCTTCCCTAGGCTTCCCATAGACTTTCTCTAGTTCCTCGGCCTCAGGCTCTGCCTGGGGTTCGGAGCTTCCGGCGAACTCCTCCATAATAGTGTCACGGTTAATCCTTCTCCCGCCCGTTCCCAGTCGAGTGGTTGCGTTCACCCTATCACGTCCGTCGTTTTCCAAAATAAAGTTGACCTGCGGTCCGTGGCCCCGCAGTTGATCCCAAATGATATCGACCACCGGCACAGCTTCTACGACCGCTATCTCTAACCCATTGAGCATGATAACGGCTCGTCGCATTCCCCCTGGTGAGTTCCAATTCACCCGCTCTCCCTGTGGTCCGAATATCTCTCCCTTTAATGACCTGGTGCATCTCCTTTTTAAGATATCATGGTTGAGCTTTGGACACACGTGCACATAATGTCCCATCGCGGTGCAGTACTTGCATTGCTCGTTAGCAAGATCTCTCCGTCCGAATCCCCGGTTGTACCTGGCGGAACCACAACTTCCTGGGGAGGGAGGGCGGGTCGAGATATTTGCGCCTGCATAACCAGTAGCGCGCCCTCCATCCTTTCAATTTTATTGTCGACCCCGTGCACCCGCTCATGTAGACTTTCTATCCCCTTCTTTACCTTGTCGCCTGTTCTACCGGTCAGATCTATGACCTCACCTTCCTTAAGCAAGTCCAATGTCTCAGTCACTACCGTCTTTTCGGCCAAATCCGTTACCGTAGTGAAATCAACGTCCCTAGTGTTTACAAATTTGCTCATCTGTTGGTAAGCCGACAGGATCTTGTCCTTATCGAACTCGGAGAACTGTTTGAGGAAGTACTTACTCATTATTCGGTCCGTAACCCCGGGGATTCTTAGTGCTACCAAAGTAAACTCCCGTAGGAAGTCATTGTTTGCGAAGTTCTTCCTTTGGACTGCCGCTAGATCGGCCTCCGTTGCCATCTTCTCTGCTGCCAGATATTTTCTCATCATCACATCCTGGGTTTCTTTCCAAGACCGACTCGCGGCCACAATGGCCATTATGTCCCACCCTAGGCTCAAAGACACATGCTGCCCCAGGTGGTCCATCTTCTCTTCTTCGGTCCATTTCAACAGCGCAACCAGATTCTCGTAATCTATCAGGAATTCTGTGATGTTCGCCCCATCAAACGTCAACTTTTTCTTAGCATCCGCTAGGTAGCCTTGATTTTTGTTTAGTGCTCGCGCGAGGGACGACACTATCTTCCTAAGGCCGCCCTCGGAGCTGCTGGCCTCGCCTGCCATACTGTTATCCGGACCTTCCTTGCCGGCCTTCTGTCCCTCCCTGGTTTTCGTAGTTCCTTCTAGGTCAAACCATCCCAACACGCTTTCCCTAAGGCTCCAGAGTCCTTCGCACCCTCGCGTTACTGCTGGCGTGGTCGGCAGGCGGCTAGCCCTACTATCTATGGCTGGCGGGGTCGTAGCCTTTTCCGCTTCCATCCCCGGAGAGTTATCTTTCTCTTTCCTTCTTTTGCTCGACGTTCCCCCACGGTCACTACCTTTATCCCCTTGTCTAGTCCCACCTCGGTTGGCTTTCCGTTCGTCCCGGGGTTCCTCCTGCAGAGGGCCTTCTTCGTTCCCAGTCATCATTTCCTCAATCAATCTTGCCTTGTACTCCGCGGTCCTTTTTTCTATCTCGGTTAGTTTGCGCCTCGCATCCGTGACCCTTACTTTCTTAGACACGGCTCCTTTTGAGTTTCGGGAGCTTGTCCTGTCCTTATTTCTGCCCTCCTTGGTCTCCTGAGTCCCTTGCCTGCTTCCACCGGCTTTCCCCGAGCTTTCCCCTGAGGAGATTTCCTTGCGGTTCCCTTTGGTACCGTCCGGATTTATCGATTCTCTATCCTTCTGCCCCTCTTCGCTTTGTACGGCACTGCCTCCTAAGCCTGGTCCTCCTTCACTCTTACGGTTATCTGTCTCCTTCTCCGTTGCCATTTTGCCTAGTTCTGCATAAGCCAAAGAATTCGCAGGACATACGCAAAGCGAAGCATTTAGGTTCCCTAGGCTCCCGGCTCCGTTGGCTTATCTTTATAGCCTTTTTCCTATCTTCATTTCCTGATTGCCTTTCCCTAAGGAGGAGCCACGACCGGCCCTGCTTCCCTGCCGAGCTATGGGCGTGACTTGGCTTTCTTTATCACAAGCTCGTTTGTAGTGCCCTTGTCCCGTCGGGTCGGTGCGAGGGAGTCCGGGTTGGGCATCCTGCTAGGGAAAGTCTTCCCGAGCAGTGTTTCCTTTTCCGACCTTCAGTGTTACGGTCAACCATTAGGAGTCTACCCCCTTCTTTGTTTTCTAACGCGTTTTAGCCATCCAGGTCCGAGGCCCCTTTCTTATTTCCATCGGCGAACTTCCATACGTAGCGAACTATACTCGATCTACCCTATTGGCCCGCCTGCGGAGGCTAGTTCCGTTCTCGCCCTCGCGGCCCTTCAGGTTCGGTAGGCTCCTCGAATAGTTCAGCCACCCCTGCTAAATAACTCTCTCCTATATCAATTTCCCTTTCGATTATGCGTTCGCATCCCGCCCAGTCTAGCCGTGGCGCCCTAAACATCAGGATGTGGATGACTTCCAGTAACTTGTGGGCCATGTTTCCCCAGAACGGCCCGTGCTCCACAGCGACATCGTAGAACATCCCAATGGTAGGGGAGGGGAAGTGGTCTACCCAGACTATCGTTGAGTCTGCCAGCTCCTGCGCCCTCACGAGGCTCCCGAAGACGAGGTCTATCATAAGACGGGGCACACGGCACCTCAGCGGTGTGGTTGGTGCCCTGAATTCCCTCCAACCTCCCATTTCCACCCGGGTAAGTAAGTCCACGTTTCTTCTACCCTCGACCAATTTCCCTACCCGTGTCAACGCCCGGGCTGCCCTCCGAAAGACGGGAGCCAGTTCGTGGCCTTGCGCTATTCCCACCCCTAACGAGTGTCAGCCAATCTCGGACAGATACATGGTCCCGGTAACTTCCAAACTGGAAAAGAAGTCATCCCCAGGTCCCAGGTTGATTCTCATCCCCGTCCACCGACATTCTACCAACATGAAGGCGGTGTCTCTTCCCAAGGTTACGGCCCGCCATTCTACATCAAATCCCCGATAGTTGGAACTCGGCGGGAGGGATACTTCCCATCGTTCGCCGTTATTCCAGGGCGGTCCAAGGTACCGGGGCTGGCGTTCCATCCGCACACAGAGCGGGCGTTCCATTTGCACACGTCTTGCTGCCATTGTTGCCTTGGTGATTCCCTGCATAGTTCACATAGAAAGCGTAACATCCAATCCTCAGTAAATGTCCACCTACTGCCCCCTTACCTTTTATATCCTCTTTCTCCCTTTCTCGTCCAACTATCCTTCCATATCCCTAGGAGCTGCAACCTCCTCTGACTTCTCGTATAACCAGAAAAGGTCGTCTATGTAGGTCGAGCCCCGGCCTACTTCCCGCCTAATGACTCTCCACATGGCCTCATCACTTACTTGCGGAACTCCTGGTCGGGTGCTTACTGCAGCTTGTAGTATACAAAGTACTTCATGCCTCTGTTCGTCTTCAAAAGGCCCCATCTCTGGGAAGGCCCGGTAGTATTTCCAATACACTAATGTTTCGTCGAAATTCAACCTAGTTATGGCAGCTACCGCCTGCTCCACTCGCTCTACGCCTCCCATTTGTCTTAGCAGAAAGGGCGGTAGACTCATCCGTACGACCTCATTGGGCAGCTCAAAGATCCCTGCCGCGACAACTCTTACATCGACCGTCACGTCGTCTCGTTCTGGGACTGCAAACTCAAACCCCTCCCGCCAAGTTATTTGCCATGCTCCTTTGAACATTCGTACGGGGTCATCCCCGAAAGCCAAGGCAATCCCAAAGGTCCGCCATCCCTCTTCCGACAGGTGTAAGGATCCTGCCGCATGTACACGCCCCGGGAGGTCCAAATCTACGCCCCCGAACTCCCCTCTCGCACGCCATTCCAGTTCCACTACTAGGTACACCGTGTCCTCCACCAATTCTACCCCCACCCAGTCCATTACCGGGTTGCTTACCGCATTTCTTGCCGGCAGGCTTATTTCGACCCTGCCTTCTGATACTCTTGGTAGCAGGATCTCGCGAGGTCTATCCCCCCAGAAAGTCATTTGTCGGGCCATCTTGAAATGTCTCCTTTCCCGCTTCCTTAGTCCGATTGCTGCACCCACCGAGATTCCATGCCTTTCGTGTTTTAGTCTTTCAGCCCTCCCTACTTATCATACACTGGTTCTTGCCACTATCCCCGCCCCATACACGTACAATTCCACCCCCCCCCTTTTCCGGTTGTTGCCACTTCCCCTTTCTTTCGACCCTTACGCACCTTCTAGGGCCTAACGTACACGCCCCTCTCTTATGTTACACCTCAATTCACAAGCACCCTCCATACTCTGGCCTTTTCGCGGTGTTCGATCCCTCGGCCCCATTTAGTCGAACCACAGCACCTCAAATAGTTTAAAAACATCGTCTACGTAGGAGGGCGCGACCGCCGCCTCCTGGCTAACTATGGCGTCCCAAGACTCCGCCTCTACCTCTAGGCGGTCATACTTGCCTATTCTTAGGACGATGATGACTTCCTCGGCTTTATCTCCGTAGAAGGGCCCATATTTCAATGAGATCCTATAAAACTCCTCAATCAGCCAGGCACACTCTATATGCACCCTTCTCATGGAGTCGGCTACTTCTAAAATGTGCTCAAACCCCCCAAACCACTCGGCTATGAACTCCGGTACCCAAGTAGTTGTCCGTAGGCTTGGAGGCTTAAGTTCCTTCCATCCTCCCATCACAACTCTGCTACTAAATTCGTCCCATCCCTCGTTGGCGAACCGCTTGCCTTCTTTTCGGGTTCGGGCCTCTGCATCCCTTAGAAGCCACATCGGGTCCCGTCCCATTGCTAACATAGTGCAAAACAGGTGTCACCCGTCCTCGGAAAGGACAATCGTTCCGACTGACTCTGCCTTGCCTTCTGCTATATCATCCCAACCTTCCTCTTCCCTTATCGGGTTCCAAATCCGCTCTACCCATACATATGACAAGTCTCCGGCAACCTCAAACCCAATCCAGTCGCACGTGGTCCCCCTCCATTCGTTTTTTGTCGGTATAGGCATTTCTATTCCTCCTCTGAGTCGTCGTGGTTCCCAACCTTTGAAGGTGTATTCCATCATCCTTTCTTCTCTAGTCATTTTTCCCTTTCCTGCACAATACCAGGCCACCCGTCCTTCCTAAGTTAAGTTACCCCACCCCTCTTAGAAGTCCCAGTCCTCTATCTCTTCATCTTCGTCTTCATCATTGAAGTCGTCCTCCTCGTTGTATACCAACTCCCTTACCCCATCCAGAAACGTCTCCCCTATTGCCACATTCCTGTAGACTATCCCCCAGTGCACATAGCTAGGGACAAAAATATTGTCTATGCTAAGGCAATTTAGTATCTCGGCCAGCTCGTCCGCCCAGTTCCCCTCGAACGGCCCCATCTCTACCGACAACCGAAAAAAATCTTGCCCAGCGCATTGGTATAGCACGAGGTTCGTCATGGACTGGCATATCCGTACTAGCCTGCTCCGAGTTCCGAAAACCGCATCCACCAGGAAGGGAGGCAACACACATCGCATGGTTCTTACGGGTCGCCTCATGCTTCCTCTATCCCCAAGTTCCACCTGTACGTCTACCCTTTCCATTTCCATTTCCCTCCGCTGACATGCAGCCCACACAACCTCTGCTTCTGCCTTCCTAAACAACTCATTCGGCGTATTCCCGAGTGCTAGCTCTATGACCATAGCATTTCCCCCACTTTGCGTCAAGTAGACCCACCCCCGGGCTTCCACTCTCCCTCGGAATTCCAAATCCATTAAACTTGGCGACAACCTCGTCAAGCTGACATTAGTCCATACTGTTTCTATCCAAAGAAAAGTGTCATCCCCTTCCAGCATTGCCGTTTGATACGCTAGTTCAAGGTCCGTCCACGTCCCATCTTCCGGGAGGACGACCGATACCCCATCTTTTACATCTACTGGCCTTTCCGGGCCGCTGGTATAGATCGGGGAAGGCAACCATCACGCCATCTTGTTTTCAGCACCCGACCCCTGTTTTCATAAAAAGTGCATCAATCGGTCCTTTTGGCCAGGTCAACCCTTGCCCTAGATGAGAATTATTTCAGACCCCTCATCAAGGTCTCCCTATTTTACCTCCCTATTCCTAAGTACCTCCTTCCCATAATTCCCTCGGTCGGCCATCCATTTGCCCACATTCTTTCTCTTGGTTCCATTCCAACTGACCTCTATCCTCCTTCCTTCCGATCATCTCTCACTCGTGTGGACTTAGACGGGAGGGGGGGGGATAGACTTAGAAATATGTCCCGTCCAACAGTCCAAGCTCAATCAATTTTTACAGAAGGGGAACACATAAAAAAATCAGGCAACCTCACATACGGGCCGGTCATCTCCTCACCGATCATCCCAATATAATCTCTCCTCTGGTACTATCGGTAGAGTTTTATCCCATACCTCAAGCGCAGCTCAACCATCGCGAGCGCGGTACCCACGCTCCGCCAAGGCGTTAGCCCTTTCCTTGTACCCAGAATACCCCATCCCGTCTTGCCGCGCTTGCACATCCATACCGACACCGAGGGTTACCCCGTGTGCCTAAATACAGGGACAAAAGTCAGCCGTCCGAGCATTCACTTCCATCGGTCTGACAAGAATCAGCCTTTCTCAAACCATGCTATGAGAAGCTACTAATCGTCTCCGAGGCTCCGTCTTTGTCTGCACGCAGTGGTACTCCCCCCGCCAGCCAACAGGCTAAGCCCCGCCTAGGAGATTTCGCACCCCGTCCGGCAGATCATCGAGCAAAAGTCCGTCACCGCTCGAACGGAAATGTTACTAATCAACCGACGTGACAAACTCCCGTCCGACAGCTCGGTGGCCTGACCTCCACATACGAACACACGGCAA